TGGCTTGACTTCTCTGCTGTGTGTAATGGGGGCTGGGCTTTGTGCTGCATGGAGGCACAGCTGGGTCTGGGCAGTGGGGCCTTCAGAGCTGGACTTCTGCCAGCCCTGTGCTCAGCCCAGGGCGCCAGGATGAGGGACGGAGTCAGGACAGAGCTGCAACTCAGCCTGTGCCAGAGAGGAGGGGACTGCTGTGCTGTGGGCTCAGAAATGCTTTGTGAAGGTTAGACACAGGGACTCTGATCACAGGTCCCTGGGAAACACCTGCTGCTTCTGAAAGTTGTCCGTGAGCAATAGCCCTTTTCTGCATATGCATTCTGGGCCACTCTGGCTTGGTGGATGCTCTGGTCTGTGGCTTTGCACCTGTTGTTCTCTGGGGACAGCTGACTATCCATTTGTTTGTGAAAACATCACCTTGATAGAGCAAGGGAACTATGAGTAACTTCCAGTCTTTGAATGAAGGATCAGGAAATCTCTGGGGGCGAGCAGCTCTCCTGACAAATAGTTAAGCTTTGACTGATCACACATTGCCCTCATAATCATATTAATGTGATGTATCCAAAGGGACTTCAACTTGTAGCACAGCCACTGCTGCCTTTTATCTCCTGTCTTCCTGGTGGATCAGGAATCACATAACCCAGTGCATGTGTCCTGCCTTCCCACTGTACAGACTCTGGCAGCCTTTGCCAGCATTGGCTTGTCTGCCAGTGTTTGGCAGTCCCTGCATTTCCCCCTCACCTCACTTATTCTGTGCATTTGTTTCTTCAGAGTTATACTGCTCCCCAACTGAACACAAAGATATACCAAGAAGAGAATTTGATTTACCTTTATTCATAATATTGACTTGTACGAGAGGCCTCTGTTGCAGAAGTCATCTAAAATAATTGTGCCACCACCCTTTCAGCACATGTTCAGATACTTTACCCGCTTTGTTTCTCCCATTGCTGCAGACAAGTCTCTGCCTTCCCCTCTTGCTCTTCAGTACAGCTTGAGCTTTCCCAAGCTGGGTTCAGGAGCCTGGGCAGTGGGGCAGGTAGCTGCTCCTGCTGGATTTCCTAGTTTGTCCTCTCCTCCTGGCAGCCCTGGCACCTGCAGCCAAACTCTGGCCAGAGGGATGGTGTGCAGTTTGGGCAGAGAACCTGTATGGGAGGCACCTCCAAAACACAGCTTGTCCCATTTCAGGTGGAAGATATGTGGCAGTTACTGTAAAAAGCAGTGTTTGCTTTGCTGGTTTAAATTGTAAGTGCTTTGAGGGCAGGGCCTGGCTTTTATGTATGTACATGTGGGTGTGTATTTTTATACAATTCCTGATGTGACACATGCAGGAGCTGTGTGCAAAGCCATGACTTTGTCTTGTGGAAGCTTAGAGAAATGTTTTTCCTGATCCAGAGAGATGAACTGTGATTCTGATCTGACCACTGGGGCTGTTCAGAGACACAACTTGCTTTGGACTTCTGGACACAACTGTTTTCCTTCTGCTGTCACAAGGAGTGTAGCCCAATGTATTCCAGGTACAGCAGTGATCAGCATGGCCCTGTGTCCACAATGATGTTGGAATGGATTCCTTGGCCAGTTAAGGAAGAAAAAACTGCATTGTACCCTCTGTCATTTGCTGACTGGGATGCCATCAGTAACCACCTCTCACCCATAGTTTTGACCAATTAAACAATTGCTTGCTCTACAAAGAGTTTGGATTTGAAACAGACCTTGCTCTTTATGTGTGCTGTAAGTAGAAGAGAATCTGAACTCAGCAAAATTTTAATTTAGGCTTGACACTTTTTTTCTTTTTAAGAGACAGGCATATATTTTTAATCCTTTGCCAGGTATATGCTGAGACATCCCCTATGTTGAAGAGATAAGTCAAGGGTGAAAATTTCAGTTTCTGTTGCTTTGGCATACTCTTAACTTAGTTTTATGCTAAGCTGCCACACTTCTGAAGTGTGATGTACTTTTCTACAGCTTGTAGTGTGTGATTTCACACTTTCTCTGTTCTCTGTTTTGTAAACTTATTTTGTAAAATGAAATGTTCTTAGGAAAGGTTCAGGTCAAAGCTTAGGAGTGACTCCAGCAGTGAGAACAGACGCGTGCTGGATTAGACTGCATGGAGGCTGTGAAGTCTTCGTCACTGAAGGCTTTAGGAACAGATACAGCTGTTAAGAGTGATGTAAATATTAGTGGCTCTGCCAAGACAGCCTCTTGAGGTCTTTCTTTTCCTCCCGTAATTTCCATGATATCTGGATAATGCATTACATTTGACTATCACACTTCTATTCTTTATCACTTATGTTTCCTTGAAACTCAAAATCAGATTCTAGTAACAACTGGGAGAAGATCCTGGGACTCTTCCATCATGGTTCTGGGATGTCTAAAATGACCAACTCTGGACCTCTGGCAAGCACAGGAGAAGTTTTAAAACCTTTGATGACAAGTTGTGTGCTCCTTTTCCCATGCCATAAAGCACTCACTGTGAAACTGTTACCACAAAGCTGTGAGTAGACAGCCAAGTAGACTTGGGACAGCCAATAGGATTCTTCCTTTCTGCTTGCCTAGCATAAATGGAGATGAGGATTTTATTCTTATTAGCTGCAAACAGGAATGAGAGAAGGCTGCAAGGAAAAATCATCCTGTGCATAGCCTTGAGGTCTCTGATGAAACAAAATAACACAAAATTTACAGATGCTAAAACCAGTGATAACATCGATTTAATGCTGCATTTTGTCTTCCTCCTATAATACAGTAAAACGGCCTGTAATTCACATTGCAAAATTGGCAGGCATGGCTCTTTGAAGATATCATCTTCCTCGTATGTCTGCAGTGGCCTGAGTAACAAGCCCACCCACTACAGTGCTACAACAAGCCATACAAATAAATAAATAAATAGGGTCAAATAACACCATCTCCTCAGGGCAGCTGCCCACTCGATGTGTCTTGCTTAGGTTGTGAACACTTCAGCACAGGAAAGTGTTTGTTCCTTGTAGTTTTAAATTCTCTCCCAGAGCTTAGGAAGGTAATAGATTATGATAATTGTGTTTATTACATTATATAAAATATTACTTCAATTCAGATATTTAACTTTTAAATCGTTGCTGACAGTGACATTAGTTCAGATTTAGACAGTTTGTTTACACTGTACCTTTAGCCTGCATTTTAAGCTGAGCAGTTGTGGCCTGAGGTGACTCCTATAGCATAAAAATTCTCTGGAAAATTTGTATGCATTGTGGTTTATTTATTATCTTTGTATGTCCATTTCATCTGTTAGTGCCTAAGTGGGTTTTTGGAGGGTAACTGTAGCCTTGTCTCTAGCTGGGTGGCTTCATGGTTTCTTTCTTTCTGTTTATTGAATATTGTCAACTTCTGTGTCTCCCCTCTGTAACTGTGGAGTCTGCAAGAAAAATATTTCTTCCTTCAACATGGAAAACAAACCCTAGCCTAGGGGATCTAAATTACCTTTTGACTATCTGTTGGAAGGTTAGGAGTATCACTGCCTTGAACTGTGGCTTCATTTTTGTATTTCATGCAGCAGCTTCTCTGCATTGTTTATATGTGGTTGAAGGGGATCTTCCTATACCAGGATGCAATAGGAACGTCATTTTTCCTCTGGCATGAGCAGATGTCCTATCTGCGGCAGTAGCAATAACATTGCTGCTTCCTGTTGTTGCAGGTGTTGTCAGCAGGCTGGAGCTGAAGGCAAGGAAGGGGCACATTTCTGCCCATGCCATTCACTGCCATCAACACCAGCACTCCCCATGCACCTCCTTTTCCACTTGTACTTTTTAGTACTGGCTTTCTTGGCTAGTGGGCAGAAAGTTGCCCTGGAACACAAATTTATTTCCTTACTACCTGGCCTTTGCTTCTCTGTTGTTCTTCTTTGCATTGGTATCTCTGCTTTCTCTAGATTTGGTTACACCTAACTCAAATTACAAGTGGCGTTACCGTATTTAGGGAAGGGGTGGTTGAACTGACATTCATTTAAGTGTAAAACTCCCCACTCTTGGGTTCCATGGCACAGCCCCATGCAACTCTTCAGTCAGCAATTACTGCATTCTTTTCCTTTTTACAGGAGGTTGCTATCAAATCCCATGATACATTTCTATCACTACTCTGGCAAGCTGCCATTCAGACCACAGGAAACCCAGAAGAGAAGAATATACACTTAGGGCCTTATTCCATCTTCATTCTTCCCTACAGCAGCAGAATTCCTTCAAGTCTCTAGAAGTTTGATCTGAATGGAAAGTATTTTGCCTGAATAGCACCCCTTATTGAGGCATTGTCTCCAAGTCACAAATTTAGATGAGTGTTGTGGTTAGCAGTTTAAGGTCTGGTCATTTTTTCCACACGAACACGAGGAGTGCTAATCACTTCTCATGGTCTAGCAGGATTCTCTGGGACTTCTTGATTTGAGAGCTAGACACTAAAGGAAAAAAAAATAGTTCCTCTTCAAGACTGTACCTAAGAAGTTATTTGTTTTAGCAAGGAGCAGAACATTATATTTGAATGGTTTTCAGTGGGAAACAACTACTAAAGGACTAAAGCCAGGACTCTGTTCACAAAATACATGCAAAAAACCCTTGTTCTTTGAAGGAAAAGAAATAACCAAAACTGTGATATGCGCATGAAAAGTAAGAAGTGGTGAAAATTGTAAGGCAGTATTCATAGCTGTCAGAGATCATGTGGAAGCCTTAAACTTGTTTCCTATTTACTTCTTTGTGCCTTATTGTATGAATGCGTTGTTGTACTTAAAACGACTACTAATATTTTGTTATTGCCATGTACAGATTTACAAAAAGATAGTAAATTAGTTTTCATGTTCAGATCATTGGTGCTTCAATGACTACTATTATCACTTGTGTTTTCATGAAGCTCTAATTGTTGGGAAGTAACTTTCCTATTGCTTTAATCAACAGCATGTACCTGCATTTCTGTTGTAATAAGTATTGTCTCAGTCTTTCAGGTCATTCTGGTTATTTCTGTGGGGTTCATTCAATATTGTCTTCTCATTCCAGGTTATTGAAGGAAAGCTGGCTCCTTTCTTGGGGAAGGTGATCAAGTTTGCCACCTCTCATGTGTATAGCTGCAGCCTTTGTAGCCAAAAGGGTTTCATCTGTGAGATTTGCAACAATGGAGAAATCCTTTACCCCTTTGAGGACATTTCTACAAGCAGGTACTCCAATGCGGTAAAGTCAGTCATACATTTGATTTGCGTGTTGTAGCCGTGAGGATTCTCAGCCTCATGACCCTTTATTTAAATAATTAGGGACTAGATTCCACTAATACACATTTCTGGGGAGCTACAGTAGATCACTGCTCCAGGGAGGCCACCATGAACAAATGTGGAAGCAAATGAGAAGTGCTACTTCCCAAGGTCCTGTAAGTCTCAGAAGAGCTCTTCAGAAAGGGAAAAGCCCCCAGATCATCACACAGTGTGATTAAAGCTTTTCTGAGTTTGCAAAGTGTCCTGAAAAGCCAAATTACTTTTCTGGAGTGATCACAGACATCTTTCTGTTCTCTGGTATCACTGGGCCCATAATGTACAGGGATCATCCATTATAAAACAATAGCCATCCATTCTGAAGTGTCTTCCCCATTAAATGTTTTGGCTAGTTCTCTGCTCTGCCTGCGTATTCCTCTGTGCCTGTGTATGCAAGATTTTTTTTTAATATATTGCTATTCTCAGATGGCAGCAAAGTTAAGTGTATGTGAGTCCTAAACTAAGCGAAAAAACCTTTATTTCAAATCATGTAGAGTACTGGGTGCCAGGTCAGGGACAGAAGTCACATGGGAAACCTAGAAGCAAAATGCAGGAAGCCAAGGCAAACTTGGCAACTTAGCAGTGTTACTACTCTTTTTCAGTAGTGTCTTGGATTTTCAGTAAAGGAGATATACTTTCTTCCACCCTTAACAGAAAGACAGTATATCTGACATCCACAGATAAGTATTTTTATGGCTGTTTCAAATACAGTCATTGCAATTTATTCTCCAAAGTGTTCATTTGAAAGTGGAAAGAATCAAGGACCCACCTTTGGAGACAATCAGGACCAGACAATTAAAAAGGTTTGTTAAGAATCTGGTTCCCTTGCACGCACAAAGATGTTAAATTAAAAGTAACCAAGGACTACTCTTAAGGGATTTTCAGTCTGAGTTTCAAAGGTTGTTTGCATATTGTTTTTCCACAGTCTTATTCTAAAAAATATATTGACAAAGCAGTGGATAAAAGCTAAGCAAGTATGATATGTAGTTTATAAACAGTTTTTAAGAAAGAATGCATCTAGGGTGCATGGTGAGATGGGCTGAGTTAAAAGACAGACTAAGATGGCTTACAACACAAGATGTCTGTGGAGACTGCATAATAGGTGATTGAAGATATTCCCAAAAGATTAATGAGACTGCGAAGGAACACTTGAGAATACAAGTTCACGTAAAAATTTCATTTGTCTGGGAGATTTTCGGTCTCAAACCCATTATTGGGTGTATATTGTTTCCCTGCCCTTCAGCTGAGATCAGAAATACCTTGCAATTACAGAGTTCAAAACCCTGTGGAATCAAATAGAATTTGTCAGCAATTCAAGCCAACAGAAGCTGCTCTAGCTCCTGTGTTTGTGTGAGTTAGAAGCCAGAAAGGACTTGTGTTCATGTTTCACAAATGTGAAGTTATGGTTGATGTCATGCCAAAGACAGCAGTCTTTGTTAATGGTTTTAATTAAAACACAATCAGCATCAAAGTTCTCCAAGATTTCTCTTTCTTATCTCATCATTCTGCTTACTCCTTTTGTATTCCTTATACTAAACCTTGTTTATCCCCAGCATTTTCTGATTCCCTTCCTAGTTAGTTTCCTCATCTCATTACTACATGTGCACCTATGTGGAGCTAACCAGATTATTTCAGTTCAATATTTTTGCTCTGGAGGCAAGTTATGCCAACAGAGGAGCTTGTACAGTAAAGCTCCTGTGCAGCTCTATCAGCTCCAAAGCACTGAGGGAGGCCAGGTGGAGGGATTTTCTGTTTGTTTCCATCTCTTGAAGACAAGAGAGGTTTCTGAAGTATGTGTACTGAGCACTACAAGACAAGGTAAGGTGAGGAGGCTAGTTAGAAATAGAGGGATGTACAAAGTAACCTGGCAAATGGATGGCAAGTCCTAGAAGGCCCATGTGAAGACTTGCCGTTATACCTGAAAATTCTGATGTATTCAAGATTTCCTTGTCAGTTGTCACACAGAGCTCTGAGTAAAAGAGCTCAGATTTGTGATTTAGTTGTACTGTTCTGAGTCCACAGTGTACAGAGATAATTGGCTACAACTCCCTTCCCCATCCTGGTTTTCTGGAATTGCTATCTGCAGCACCGTACTCATATTTTGTACTCAATAGTGGACTGCCAGGTACCCTGGCTGAAGCTGGTGAGTTGAGGAGGAAAGAGGAGCTGCTGAACTCTGAGGACCATATTTTTCTTTTTGCATTTGAATGTTTGTTCACTTTTGAGCTATCAACTCTACCAGCAAACTGGGCTGTTAGGTTAGAAATATTTGAAAGTGGGTGCATGACATCTTTTGCAAACTTCAGCTCTTTGCTGCATGTTTGAAAAGTGAAGCCTGGCTTTGTGCGTGTATATATGTATGTCTGTGTTGAGCTGGCATTTGGATTTTTGGCTACCTCTCTAACCTTTCTTGCTCTTTGGAGAGAAGAGTGACAGCTGTTAGCTGGCCATTACAATTCCAAGGTGGTTCTCAGTTGACTGTTAAACTTTCCATCCTCGTGGTCTCTTAGGTCAGCTTTGAGGTGAAGAGATTGTTTCTCTCCAAAATATTCTCAGCAGTTTCTGGCATAGTGTTCAGTGGGAATTGATGAAGGATGGGTATTCTTTAGATAGATACAGCTGAGAGAAAAAGAGGGCCCCTCTTGAGGGCTGGAGTTTCTCTTTGGTCTCGTTATTTGCTTGAGAGTAATTTTTGTCAGTCCTTGGGCAAACAGAGTGAATACCTGGGTTATGCACTCCTCAGGGTTTGAATACACATATATTACATACCCTTCTCTCACTAATCAGTGTGACACATTCCTTTGTTGGCAAACGGTTCCAAAACAAACACAATCAGTTCACTTAATTAGCGGGTCTGTGGGCTGTGCTTGGCAGGCGCTTTACATCCTGCTCAACAATGCAGAGCAACAGTTTGCTGCCTTGAATGCGAGGGTAGGCTCACAAAGTCATAAGCTTTCAATGATACCTCCTTTCTCTGGCTGTTCTTGGGAGGTGGCCATTCTGCACAGATCTTAATGAAAGCTGTGATTCAGTAGTTAAACCATTTCTTAAAAATTGTCCCATCCTTTTGATGCCTCTTCCAGTCACTTTGATTCTTCTGTCCCTTATTCCCCTCTCTTCTATCTTACCCATATTTATATAATACTTCATCGGAGTTCTTTCAAAATTTCACAATTTTACCTTGTTTTCGAAGGCTTTAAATCATGAGAACTATTTGAAGCCTCTTGAATTAATTGTACATTTCATGGACCAAATTTTCAGCTAATGTAAATTCTCTGAGCTCTGCTTTTGCTGGAGTTCTGGCAACTTAAATAAACGGAGTATCTACCTCCTATTTTATTTCTTGGGCTAAATTTGCCCTGGGCTAAAATTTAGAGAGTAAATATATAAAATTATCATATTATATCACTTATTTTATATTTACAGGTGTTGTGCAATGACTTTAAATATCCTTGACTGTAAATTGGCTTGTTAGAACTATCCTTGCCCCTTAGCAAGCAGGCGCTTCTCCTCAGGTTGCTCTGATTTTGCTTTTTCTTCACTAATGTGAGGAAAAGGTTTTGTTTCTTTCTACTAAAATTAAAAAAAGACCCAACAACCAAACAACAGAAGTGAAGTCTGGGTAGTGGCACTGTTGTCTGTAGTAGTTGCTGTATTTGTTTTATAACTTAGAACCATTTTTAACAATTTTTAAATCTTAAGGAATACTGAGAAAATTACCTTTGGAATGAGAGTAGAATTTATTAAAATATATTTTCTGTCCCATCAGATAATTAAGCAATCATGGTTATGATTAAGATTATGTTAGCCATTTAATGAAGTTTTGCCTGTCATCATCCTAATGATTACTTTCACAGGCAATTAAATTTGTTGTGTTTTCCTGGTAAAGTTACTTGCTTGTTAAGAACAATTTAATCCATTCCTTTCCTTTTATGTGCTGGCTGTAGATGTATGTGAACCACAGAGTTGCTCTTTTGTGTTCATATTCATTTATCAAGGCTAAACTGTTTTCACTTTGTTAATTTGTTCTGCAGATCAGTTAAGACATGTAGACCTTCTAAGAGACAAACCAGAAGGCCCAAGTTTAAAATAGACGTGCCACAGAGCAGACTTGACTATATCAACCAGCTTGGATGCCTCCGTAATCTTTGGCCACCATCCTGATAAGACCTGTGAATGTACTTTGCACATAGTGACAAGGCCTGCTAAAGGCTCTGGGGCTGTGCATGCTGAAGTCTTTGCAAAGTTACAGCTTTGTGTTATGGATGCTGTGTCACTGGACAAAGGCAATGCTCAAGATAGATGTTAGATGGAGAGACGGAAATATTCAGTACACAGTATTTGCAGGAAATACCTTGGCACAGGTCAAAGGCATCACACAAAGTACATAATTTTCCCTCTTGCTTTGATTGGCTTGTCTTTTGCTAGAAAGCCTTTCCCCAGGGTGGGCTCACCTGAGTTGTGACAGTAGTTTAGTACCTCATTTTGAAAGAGGTTAGCTTATCAGATGCTGATAGCTGGTTCAAAGCACTCTGACGTGATCTGCTCAGCACTTCTTTGAGGAAATGTGCGTACCTAAGTAGATGTTAAGTTCTCTTGGTAATTTGATATCTCCTGAATCTGTCAAAATTGCTCAAAATCTTCTGGCCCAGATGGTCTTTTTTTTTGTTTGTGCAGGGTAGCACAGTAATATTATCTGGAAGATGTAAACAGAAAACAATAAAGTATACCAGCTTTTTCATCAAGTATTGTCTTTTACAACTGAAATAGCTTTAGAGGTTGGTTTTACTTGCCTCATGTCACTGTTAACTAGGCTTTTAACTAGAATATTCAATCAATGTCATATTAGTGCCAACTTTCTTCCATTCATTTACCATGTGGGCATCCCTCCCTAGGCAGGCTACTCGCATTGGTTCCTAGGCAACCGGAATAATATTGCTGCACGTGTGTGTCAGGCATTGATTGCCTTTGGGGCTTTTTTTTGTATTGTAAGTGAACACAGGCTAGTCCTTTTTCCTTTTCTTTGTGTTCTGCTGAAGGCTCAGAGTTTGAAGGGCCTGTCTATGATATTCACAGCTGAGCAATTCAGAAATGCTTGCAGACAGGCACATGTGCATAGTGTGGGACGGTGATCATGCTGGAATCCCCAGGCAAGGCTTACTTCAGCCAGTATGTTTGCTCTTTGGGGTTTTTAATAGCTGAGTTACAGGTGGTTTAGTGTTTTGGGTGCTTGGTGAATATTTAGCATCATCTAAGGAGAACATATTGAATGTTCCCATTTAATCCTGCTTTTACTCTGTGTGGTAGGAAATAAGAGTTTAGTTGTGAAAAATTTAGCCCTAAATAAAATCCTTGCTGAAATTTCTTCCAAGGGATTACTCACTTGACCAAAGGTGTGCAAGGTCTGGCACAAAGGAAGTGAGTTTTTTAAATGACAAAATGAAAGCTAATATATAAAATTATAAAGAAAGGGTGGTGGGTGAATATGGCACTGCAATGGGACAGGGGAGCTCTTTGCCCTTCTCAGCTCTGCTAGGAGCCCCTGGCTGACCTTGAGCAAGCCAGTGGTGCTGTATCTGTACAGCCAGCCCCTGTGCAGGGACTGAAGGTATCCTAATAAACCTTGTTGGTTCTAGCAGCCTCATCCCACCTTTGTACCTGTCACATTGGTAAGTCTGTCAACCAGTTAGGTTCCTACGAGCCAAAAACCTGGCTTTCAGATGACATCCTGCACCACCTGTTGATCATCCCTGCTTCATTTTGTCTGTTTGAGGTGAAAGGTCTTTGAAGCCTCCTTGTGTTGTACCCCCCACTTCAGGCACCTGATTCTGCTCAGGGGCCTTAATGATGGTGCAGTACAAAGAATAAACATAAGCATAATCAATTGGTTGTGCAACATCTAGAATTACTTGAGCTATAATCCTGGGAAAAAAAATAGATGGGAAGCATGGAAAGAGCATGCCAGAACTTGCAATTTACTAAATATTGCTATGTTTCAAATGCCCAGACCTAATGGGAGATACTAACTTTGGCAGCATACAAGGAATGATTATATGCTTTTAATGTAGAAAGCCTTTTCTTTTGTAACTAGTGATGATAATAATAAGAGCATTGTAATGCCTCTCTGGCTGTGGAGAGCTTTGCCCTTTCTCTTACACTTTCCAGTGCAATAGAAATTATTTAGAGGACTGAATTATTCTCTGCATTTTTTTAATCCATACAAGTAAAACATCCTTAAAACATAAAACACCCTCTAAAGTCTCAACAGAAATTGAGTTAGATCAGGAAAGAGGAAAAAAAAAGAAAACACCAAAATAGAGAGGAAGCTATTTCAGCTGCCTTCTTAGAAGACTGCAAGTCTGTGTGAAAACAACACGCAGTGTTCACTAAGTCTTCAAATGCTGTTTGAAAAATAGCAAGATGCTATTAATGTGCAGTGTCACAATATCATTCATTAAAGAAGGAAACATGAAAGGCCTGAATGGCTATGGGCTCATCAGCTTATTATCAGTGGTGAATAGCATTCTCACAAAGGATGTAGGGACTTCTTGGCCTCTAGACAAAGAGTAAGTCGGGATTCAGAAATAGCACCTGAACTGTGAATTACCTATGACAACAACAAGGGTTAAGGGAAAGATAAGTAGGTGTAGTGAACTATTAAGTGAGCCTTTTATAGGCTACAAAATATATTTTATTTCTCCAGAGAAATAAAATCATTTTAATATACTGAGGCTTGAAAACAACAAAAGGCCGTATGAAATTCACATGTGGAGATAAAATTATATCTCAGAATCAACTAGGAAGCAATCTGTTTGTAATATTCTGAAAAGGAATATAATGGTGGAGTTTTTGGTATCACTGGAGAATCCCTCACAGTGATGTTAGAAATGGTCAACCAGTTGGCATTCCAGGGGCAGTTAAGATTGGCTGTATTTGATATGAGGAAAAGCAGAGCTGTGTAGGTAGCTTGGGGGTAGTATAGCTCCACCACTTTTAAAGGAGTGACTTGCTAGTTGCACCAAGGCAGAGCAAGATCAGCATTGCCTCCCTGCCCTGGTGACTTTGTCAGTGAGGGGGACACAAGCATGCAGTGAAGGCTGAAATGGGTGTCCTCTCTACTTGTTCCTGAGCAGAGCTAGAGGCAGCTTTGTTCTCCAACTCAGAGCACCCTTCCTCTAGGCTACTGCCTTGTTGTCATCTGGACCCCTTGGTTGGGCTCAGCCTTCACAAGAGGAGGCAGAAAAGGGGTCTTCAGAGCAGCAGTCAGGGGGCACCAGAATGGACCCACGATGGCAGCAGTGGGTGCCACTGCAGGGACTGTGAGATCAGGGCTGGCTGTTTGCTCTGCCTCTGCTTAGTGCCTGACCCTGTGGGGTCCTGGGCACAGCTTCAGCTGCTGCACCAGCTCTAAGGAATAACTGCTCAGACAGTTTTTCTCTCTGTTTTGATTCTAAGCGATGGGAAAAATGTTTGTTGACTTTTTCCACTGACCTTATTTCTGAAAAATGAATTAATATTAATTTGAACACCATCAGTCTTTGTTTGCTCTGCTGATGGCCTTTGACTTGGGAGACCAGGTGTGCTGGCTCCTCTCTCATCCTGCTGAATCCACTTCAGCAGTAATTTCTGCTAAGTTTTGTGGTTTCCATGCATGCTGTAGAGAAGTATTAGACTAGCATAAGGGGTGGTGATGTGAGAGCACAAAATTACACTTCTCATCAATCATTACCCTCCAGCAACTTCCAGGGCACTGTAAACTGCTGACTAACAAGGGAGAATTAGCTTGATAAAATCACCATTAGTGTCAGTTCAGAGTGGTGTAAAGTTTTAGACACTGCTGTCTTCTGTCTCTTCTTTGCCCATTAGTGGGTCTGTTTGTGGAGATCCCGACCCAGCAAATCATGTAAGCACACTTAATGGAAGGCAGACCAGTAATCCCAAATAAATCAGTGGGATGTGAGTCCTAAGCATGTGTGTATGTGCTTCCCTGGATAAGGGCAATAACACACTCTCTGAGCACAGAAATTGTAAATATCTCTGCATAAGCCAGTTTCTTGATTCAAAACCAGATTTAGAGTGTAGCTGGACTGAGAAATCCAAGAGTCAGGTTTTACTGCAAGAGAGCATGGAAGCCAGTAGATATACTGCTTTATACTTAGCTACGTTCGCCTGCCTTTTCTTACTCACATTTAGGTTTTATCAGTTTATGCTAGTCAGAAATGCACCTCATTAAATCTCTGCACAGCCTTCTTAAAACTCTGGAGTTATTAAAATTTACACCATGTTTGGAGCCATGCATAAAACCTCAAGTGCAGTCAGATCAGGAGCAGTTTTTTTAAAAGTCACAGATGAGATGCAGCCAATGTAGCTAACAGGTTGTGTTAGTTTAGGGACTTCTCTCAGTATTGTCAGACCACATGCCTTATGGCTTCTCACTTTTTGGGGGTTTTCTTTCTTCACATTTTTAATTTCTCCTCACGGTCTTGAAGACAAGAACCTTATTTCTATGAAAATCAGGTTCAAAGCAAACCAACAAAAAAACCCACTCAAGTTATACTAATGGGCATTATGTAGTCATTGGACTACAATGTCTGCAAGAAAGGAAAAAAAAGTGCAAGGCATTTCAAGATGTCCTATGGGATGAATCACCAAGGGTGACCAACACCCACTGTTTGTATTTCAGGATTACTCTAAAATTTCATGTTTTGTTGCTTTATTATTTGATTATCCAACTGAAATGTAAGACTTTTTACCTCTGACAGTCCTCCTTTTACTTTTTCTTTTGGTTACAAAGCTGTAGTGACAACTTGTCACTACAGATAGATATTTGCATTGAAAGGCTGAGAATGTCCAACTGTTGAGTTGTAGCCCACTCATGATTGCAGATGTTTCATTGCTCCACATCCATCTGCATCTGGGACTTGATCTGCTGTGACACTAAGTTCATTGCCTCACAATGCCCCAAAAGTAAACCAGTCATCTTGCTTGAGCAGTTGATTTGTTTGAAGTCCTGATGTCACATTTGAGAACAGAGTAACCCAGCTTTGAATGCCAGAAGCATAGCTCAATGTATTGATCAATTGATCAACATAGACCAGTTGTCTTCAATAGGACACAGGGTAGACAACATCACTTACCTCTGTGTCATTTTTACGCTTGAAATGACAACTTCTGCTGTTGAAGTGGACTGTTCTTTACTCTTTCCAGAACAGCTGACTGCTGGAGCTTCAGTGAGAAATATGTCGCATCGTGGCTGTTGCAAATCACAGAATCTGTTTCTGCAATTGCTGAACTATAACTTATTGGAAAATAATATAGTCACGCCTCATTTACAAACAAAGCAAGACTTGTCTTTCATAAAACAAAGTTGATGTCTTTTCAGTATTGTACCTGAGTACTAATTACAAAAGATAAGTATTAATCCTTCTAAAAACTTGTCTGTGAAGCAGAAATGCTGGGACAGATTCTCAGCAACTGCAAAATGAGTGCAAGTCAATTTATCTTAGTGCTCCTGAGTAGCTTAACACCAGCAGAGGCGTGGCCATACCAGTGTCTTTTACAACACCACTCGAATGAAGGATAACGCTCTTTGAGGTCCCAGAACAGTGTCAAGGAATACCTACTGCCCACAGCCCACAGGCAGCCTATTGCATGCTCTGGTCCTATGTTGTGATTCCATTTTGACACTAATTTGTGTTTGCAGGTGTGAAAGCTGTGGTGCTGTCTTCCACTCTGAGTGCAAAGTGAAGGCTGTACCGTGCCCCAGGTGTGTGCGTAAAGAATTGCAGAAGAAGCAGAAATCCTTCTGGAGGCAACTGAATATGGATGAGAACTTCGAAGAGTCTTGCAACATGTTTGAATTGTCATATCAGAACACATGAGGTCCTTAAGGCAGTGGCCAGCCTGAAGAGAATCTCTCTCCCAGCTGCCAGCTCAAGCAAATTCTCTGCTTAGACAGGCAGAAATTGTTTTGAAAAATGTTACCTGACCTCCTTCATCTGTGAAATAAGAGCTGCCAAAGTGGCCACAAAGCCTTGTTGGCTTTGACATACCAATGGCTAAACTGCATTGAAATCCAGCCTCTGGCTCTCGTACAAAATGTGGTTTATGAGAAATGCTTTAGGTCTAGCTAATTAAGTACCCAACTTTCTTTTCCACCTCTGGAGAACACTTTATCTCAAGGCAGAAAATATTTGCTGCCATGACTGCATTATTTTTTATGTTGTTCATTTAGAGTTGATGAATCATCTACTTATTTATGTGTATTATTTATTTATTAATAGCCTTGGCAGGGGTTCTGGTGAGGTGTTTCACAGAACCCAGTAGAGCAGGAATTATTTTAAATCCACTGTCTCCTTCTGATCTGGACATGTGGTTTCATTTCCTCATGTTTTCAGAGAACTATCTTAAAGGATCTCCTTCCTTAAACCTTATTCGGGGTGCTTGCAAACATAAGACGCAGAATAATTCCTTCAGTTATGTTTATATATTTGTAACCACCCTAGTGAACTACTCCATATTCAGATAACCATGGGACTTGCTGCTCTTTTTGTTCAGGCTGGAAATACCAGTTAAGCTCTGTCTGAAGTACTTTGAGATTTGTGCTGGTTACTCTCGATTCACGGGAGGCTGTGTCCTTGTCTGTAATAACATGATGTTGGTTCTCCTCCTTCCAGACTGAAACTTCAGGGCATTTTAAGTGTTCACATTGGTTTTCTGTTCATTTCCTGAAGTTTATTTCAAATGTTTTTCTAATCTGAATCTGTTAAACTGATAGTCAGGAAAGTGATCTTGCCCATTTTAGTTAGCAAATGCCTCCAAAATTGTGAAACACTACTTTGCTGTTTTCACATGCAGCCTGTGTCCTGTATTCTCTCTGAGCTCTGAGGCATTTATAGTTCCATAATGACTTCCATGGTGGACAGTGAAGTTCCTTGAAGTATGATTCTGCTTCACACACCTGCAACACAGGGAAGTATAAAACACAGTGAATTATTTTGTAAAGGGAAGTACCTGATGGATTTAACTGGAGAGCTGTGTGTCCTTACTGGCAGTATGTTTAATTCATGGCAAGTTCACTTCCAATGAGCAGTTAGATTTCTTCTCCCTATTTCACATTCCTGACTCTTTTCCACACCCTGCAGTGATATGTCTATTACATACCTATGAAAGCATTCATATATATATATACAGACACACACAATCTATATATAGAAAGTAAATATGGTTTCAGGAGAATAATGCCAGTTGCATGTGGTTTTTTCCTCTCCTCTCACATAGGTTTGTGAAAATATGGAATACTGATTTTTGCTTCGTATATAATCTACAGACTGTTGTATTCAAGGCAGAAAGCAGTTTTGTTTGTGGAAGCATTTCACTAATTGCAGAAGTATTTTGAATGAAAGAACAGGGTACATCATGCTTACATTAAAAGGTAAAATGCTACAATGAGTTGCCTTGTACTGGAATATAAGTGGTTACCTTTTCCAGCCTCCAGTCAAAGAAAAAAGTAGCTTTTTCAAATTTGAGTGCAACTACTATATATATATATATATATATACATATATACATATATATATATATATATACACATATATATATACAGAAGCATGTTTATATCTCTATACATTAGACAACCAGTGCCTTTCTTTTGCAGAAATCCTTCTTTCATTGGGATTCTTTAGAAGGAAGTGAGGGTTTTTCCATGTTCTTGGCAAAGTGCTGTAGGGATTCCCATACTTAATAAACCTGGTGAATCATGCACCTTTGTCACTAAAATTAATACTTCCTATACACAATGGTGTCTCTGTCTCAGCTCACTGTTCCTCATGTGAAATGAGTTGCTTTTGGCTATCACCCTTAAAGGTATAATGTTCCTTGCAAATCCATTCCCATGCAAAGAATTCCCTGTGTGTTCAGAAATGCAAACACTGGGGAAGTATTGTGGAATTAGTCAGGCAAACAGGAACTGCACTGGTACTGGCTGAATAAACAGAACGCTCCCGTGTTTTTCAGCTTGTGTCACTACAATTACTTCTGTGGCAAAGCCAGTAGCTCTGAAACTGTCAGCATCTGTCAGGTATTATTTTGAATTATCTGTAGACATAATGTTAGGTCATTAAAAAAAAAATGGTGGTGTTTTACATATCATCATGCTCTGGTATTTATAATACCTCACAGTACTTGTTCATGTCCAGCTCAGTTTGGAGAAGGCTGCTTGAGTGCACTGTCAAAAACCGTGTGGAGTCAAGGAATCAAGGTTCAGACATTGCAAAATATTAGTTACTTTGACAGATGTCCTATCTCCAAAGTACCAGTCCTGTGGGTGGTTAGATATTGGAATTGAATGCTGGAATAACAACATAAACAGCATTAGAGTTGCTCTGGGTTTGTGCATGTACTACAGAACAGTTTCTTTGCTAACAGAGATTTAAAGGATAAAAAAGTATGATGTTGGCAAAACTGCTGAAATTAATAATGGGTTTGAAATCACTGCCATTACCAGTGACACAGAGCAAGAGCATGTTATGATATTCTGTCAGTACCTAGAGCTTTATGTTAAAGGATACTGTACAGTACAGATCAGGCTATTTGCTTTAAAATCCAGTGTTGTTGTAAACCAGCTAGTTCCTAAAATGAATAGACGTTAATTTCTACTTTGGAAAAGTGATAAAACTTCACAGTAGCTCTAGGAGCTGGCTGTAAGGTGAAAGATTATGTCCTCTCAGGGATGCCTAGCTCCTATCCAAAACCAGTTATTCTTTATGAATGGGTACGATAAAATATTCTGTCACTAATTTTTGTAAGCATAATGAAAGGCTTAATCCTGCCCTCAGTCAGTTTTCTTGCAGGAGCCATCTGCAAGCAGGAGCATCAGCCTGGGGTTCTGCAGGTGGGGGTTTCAGACAGCGCTGTACCCTTGCATGGTTGTCTCTGCTGTTTCACCAGTGCTCTGTGCTGGTCCCCACTGCTCTGTGTGCCCATTCTGCAGCCCACAGCCTGCACGGGGCTCTGCTCTGCAGACTTCTGGATGAGCATCAGCTGGTAAAGTTCCTGGGGGCTTTGCAGATTGTACCACTCTCCAGCATCCTCCCCCCACCCCAGGTGAAATTATGCATTGGTACTTCAGACTTGTCCTACTCACGCATGAAATAAATTTGAATGATGCCATTTCATTGTGAATCAAGAATGAAATATACTCTTTGTCTTCTTCAAAGAGAAGATGCTTTCATAACTGACTGAGAAGGAATTGATCTGTAATCCAGTTACTGCTTTTGCTTTGTACAGAATTTATCATCTGTGTAAAAATAGGATGCTTAACTACAGTGGACGATAGCTTCACTCTCTACAGGTACTTAGAGTTGTTAGTCTGATATTATTTTAATCTAGGACACTACTGAGATCCTTATTCAAATCTCTTTTCCTCTTTACCCTAACTATCTACCTTTCCTTTAATGGGAAGATGGGCCTATTTAGGCGATGCAAACTTCAGCTCTTTTTGTATTATCAATCTATAAAAAGATAAATTTGTGTTTCTTATGTAGGAATCCTTCTATTACTTTTCTTGGTTTTTGTCTGTCTTATGTGGTGGAAAATGATGGGTTCATGATATGACAAAATATCCTGGCTGGCACATACCAGTATGAGCTCACTGCTGGGATCCATAGGAATTGGTAGGTTTGAGGGAAGGTACTCTTTTGAGAGGAACTTAAGTTTTTTGCAGTACTGCACAGGCTCTGCTGGCCCTGTTAGGAGTGAATGATCAGGGTATTTCTAGAGCTCCTCTTGTCAAGGCTTCTCTTATTATTAGGATAGTGTGTGTATTACAATAGATTGATGATAATGTCTTGAAAGATTTTTAAAAAGAGCAGAGGATGTCTGTTTACAATGAAATGGGGAAGCTGCCCAGTTGAATTTTGCTTTTTCCATGTAGCAACAAAAGCCACTGAGTTTCCTAAGCTTCCCAAAGGGCACTGCCTGGATTGCAGCTGACTGTTGATCTGTATAAAAAAATTAATTGAATAATATCATAAGGTTCTATTTTTTTTTCCTCCCACTGAGTTGCAAGCCAGTCTCCCCTCTCTCTCCACTGTCTCTGTCCCTCTCTTTACTCACAGTACTGAGACTGTAGCCAGACTTGGAGCTTCATAGGTCATTGTGCTACTTTTGAACCAGTTGAGTCCAGTCATTCTCTCCTTTGTAATTTGCCTTCCAATTTTCCCTTCCCAGTAGGAGTGCCTTACAGTACAGTATATTAGTGTCTCTCTTCCTGTTTTATATTTCCTGATTGCATCTGCTGTTTTATTGACTTGTAGACTTAAACTGAAATGCTCCTATGGCTGGGCCTGGTCTTTTGCAGGAGCAGCTGAGTAAATCAGTTTGGTTGTTCTGCCCTCATGAAGTTAGCTCTATAGGCTTCATATACCAGCTCTGAAGACACCAAGCTGTGTGGGAACTCCTCACTTTTGCTCCTTTTGGTGCCTTAAATTTTGAGAGGTGAATAATTTTTTTTAGAAATGCTCTGCCATCATGCAATGTTTATGGCATCGGAGCTTAAAACCCTTGCTTGTGTAGTACCCTTGCAGTTTCCATCGTACTAAGAATGGTAACTATAAAGTTTGTTTACTGTCCATGCTTTGTGAGGGCATTATGAGAGAGGATAGTGTGGAGATGGTATTGGTTCTTATTATGTGTTTTTTTGAGACTTGCTGGCTGCTTAGCCTGAGATGCAGTTGTGCAAGACCTTCAGAAGGTGTGCATATATAATAATGTCAGGTACAGAGAATTAAAACAGGATCAGGTCACATGCAGTTTTGCTCCTCCTGGAACCCTTGGCCAGAGACTCCCATACCAAGCCCCCTGCTTGCTTGCACAGCTGGGTCCAGTGCTGTGAGGGTGAAGGTGTTTCCTCAGCTCAATTTTAATGCAACCTGGCTCCCTGCAGGCTGACCCAGTGGGAGTTCAGTCAGCCTCACCTTAGAGAGAGGGTTAACCCATTGAAATTTTAGCATTATTTGCTAAAGTATCTGGCAGGTGTCAGCCTGGGGCACAAGTCCACATTTGACACCAGTAGCAGGAATCCCCTTAGCAGCAGCAGCAGTGCTGCTACTGCATTTTACCAGTACAGTGAGGAGACAGCCTGGATAATAATGTGCAAAATCCTTCTTTACTTGAAAACCCTGGTGTGGCCGTGATGGCTTGAGTCATATGTTAAAATGACAATTTCACCCAAATTCCTTAGGGTGACCATTAATCCAAATTGCAAACATGCCACTTGTGGTCAGCATCAGAGATATCTAGGTCTGGAGAGCTATCAGCTGTCTAGGACCAAAGTGTATTAGACTCTGTGCACAGGTGTCAGCGGCTCAATTATTTATTTATTCCTGTCTAATTCACATGTTAAACCATTATGGATCCTTGAATACACAGCATTGTTTTGGTGGAAAAAGGATTTGTTTAAATTTTGCTTATGCACTTGTCTACCAAGTTGATTTTGCTTAAACTAAACTGTGCTTTCAGTTTTGATTTTTAATTAATACCTGTGATACCAAGTTACCTTACATGAGTCCCTGCTATACCTGAGGCAAGCTAAAGTAAATTCATGAGCAAAATGTGTGTTTCATAGGTATTAAGTGACAAAGGCAGCTTCCAAATCAACTTGAGTTCAGTCAAGGCAGTTGAAAGCCAGGTGTGAGCAGCAGAGCACAGTGGCTGATGTGGTCCCTGGCAGCCTGGCCTTTCCTTCCTGCCAGAGCACCAGCTCACCTGCACCTCTTACAGTGAATTTTAGCATTGCTGGCAGTGCACCCTGAGTTTTTGGAATACCCTTATGTGTGTGCTACTGTGTTAACTTATTTGCAACATTGTTATGTGTGTTTCATTGTTTGCGTTGTTGGTTTGGTTTTTTTACTTTTGACAAGGATATTTTTTTAATTATCTGCAACTACTGGGCAGTAGTCTTAATTTATTATTGATGTGTAATGATGTTATAATTTAAATCCACTGAGTTGAATTGCTTGTTGACACTTGAGCAGGGTTTATTTGGGTTCACTTGTGACTGCATCAGAGCACCAGTCCCTCCTGTATAAAGGCAACTCTCAATAAACACTAAAAAATGTTACTCGTCCTTTTTAATTTCCCTTCTGGTGGGTACTGTACCATGGGTAGGGCAAGATCTGAAAGAGTGATAGTTTTCTTAAAAATGCTTCTCTGCTGGTTAAAGTCTTCTGAAACTATGATGTCTGCATCAGGCTCTGGGGGTTTGGATTCCCAGTTAAATCTTGTGGTTTTGGAACACCACAAGTTCCTAGATTTTTGATGGTGCTGACCCCTGCCACAAGCTCCCAGGGCAGCTTACTGTGGCTTTGAGGCACCCTTGGAAACAGAGCTCCTGGGAGGCTTGCAGTAGCAGCTGCTTAGTGTGGCTGCCACATGTCCTCTGCCAGAAGGGTGCAAGGCCAGGGCCTTGAACTCTGAGTAAGGGAGGCATCTCCCAGGTGGACTGAGGGGCTGGAAGGGCAGGACTTTGCCCATGTTATGACGGTTCTCACACCTATGGATGTAGGAGCAGGCAAGATTCTTGTTGTTCTTGGTTGTTTCTTTCAGTGCACCCGCTAAGGTGTTTCTGCAGCTCCTTGAATCTGGATTCAATGACTAAAGATTGCAGCACAGAGCTATGGTGGAGCTCATGGGCCTAAAACCCCTGCCTGAGACTCCCCAGAGCATTCCACAGCCAGCCCTATGCTCTGGCAGCTTTCAAAGAGAAGGATATATCCTTCACTATCTTCCTGCCCCTCCTCAGAAAGACCAGAAGTCCATCAGGAATGTCAATCCTCTCTCCTGCAGGAACCTTTGGACTTCATCCCTGTGATGAAATCAGCTACAAGCAATGAGTTAATGTTTGACTGGGACCACACAAGCTGCACAAGGAAACCATGTGCAAGACCTTCTCTTCCTCCTATTTGCTTTACAAGGTGAGCAAATTCTGTTATGACATCTCCTTCCCCTTTCACTGCCGCCTCCCCTCCTCACTTCACCCTGTAAGAGGTGGTGTGAAAAAGCATCCAGACAGAGCAGAGACCATGGGCTCTGTGGAGCCCTGGGAACAGCATGCCAGTCCAAGCTCTAGCTCTTCTTTTAAACTCCAGATACTTCATTTTAAAAGAGCTACCCTTCCAGCTCTCAGACCAAAATTAAGAATATTTGGGTTAATATGTGAAGTTGACTGGTTTTCTGAAAGAATGGAGCTAGCAACCTCCTCCTTTCCTTAGGGACTGTGAGGCTTACCATACCTTTTCAGTGAAAGCATGCTGAGGGCAAGTGAAAATGTTCTGGGAGTGTGTGTACATAGCTCTGGACTTTGTTAAAAGAGTTCTTGTTTAACTAAATACTCTCCAAAATAGTGGTCCCATTTAAAGGCCTGAGTATTACCACTATGAGAAGGTGGTGAAAAGCATCTCAGATAATCAAGTGACACAATTAAAACCAGACAAAGTCTCCAAGGCAAGCAGGAGTAAATTCCATCCATTTTAAGCATAGACAAATATAAAACTTGGCATTGAACCTGCAAACATGCTTTAAAAAAGTCAGTCCATTGTTTATAGTAAGTGACTTTCAATTTTCTGTAATTTAGTTTCAAGGCATTAGCATTCATTTAGATATTAAAAATGAAGGTGTGAGGCTCATCTGGAAAGCAAGACAAGTCAGATAAGAGCTTGTGTTAAAGCATTGAACTTTTTACTTGAAAATTCTCAGGTGTTCATCATGTAGGTACAATATGATGCACTTAGAAGTAAATAAGAAGGAATTATTATTAAAGTTAGGTACTGTTTAAAAATAAGAAAGTACAAATTACTGAATCAGTGTAAGAAAGTAGTAGATATAATCAGCATGCATGGAGCAGTTCAGTCCAAAGTGATTTCCTAGCATTTAGCATTATAAATTAATCTCATTTCTGACTGACACTGCAGACAAATATCTGAAGTGCAGCAACAAAATAATAAAACACGAGTGTGCAGTTTTGGGCACCACAATACAAGTAAGAGGTTAGGCTGAGAGCCTAAGGAGGAGGGCAGCAAAGATGGTGAAGGGCCTTGGGGGGAAGCCATATGAGGAGCAGCTGAGGTCATTTGGTCTGTTCAGTCTGGAGAAGAGGACACTGAGGTGACACCTCACTGCAGTTACAACTTCCTTGTGAGGGGAAGAGCAGGGGAAAGCATTGATCTCTGTGGTGCCAGCAACAGGACCTGGGGAAATGGCCTGAAATTGTGTCAGGGGGGATTTAGGTTGGGTATTAGGGAAAGAGTTGTTGGGCTGGAATGGACTCCCCAAGGAAGTGGTCCCAGCACCAAGCCTGGCAGAGTTCAAGAAGTCTTTGGGCAATGCTCTCAGGCACAGGGTGTGACTCCTGGGGATGGCGCTGTGCAGGGCCAGGAGTTCAACTCCCTAGTTCTTGTGGGTCCCTTCCAACTCAGCTTATTCTGTGATTCTGTGTCTCTCCCTCAGTTTGTACCTTCCCCTGCAATGGTTTCTGAGAGCAGGGGTACAAATGCCTATGAAAGCAAGGCTAGGGCGGAAAACAAATGCCAGCACCATCCTGTCATCAGACATTGTCACGCAGCGGCTTGTGACATTGGTGGATACTTGCTTGTGTACATATTGCAAAATGTCCTGTTCTGCCTTGGACTCTGCACTTCTGAAGGACACTTGTTTTGGATTTGACAGACAGCATGTTTGATCCTTTGCCTTGGATCCTTTACAGAATTCAAGACCTGCTGGCTCCAATGAAAACTGCACTTAGTCAAAGAACCAGAGCTGGGCTCTCAGTATTTAAGACAGGAGAGGTGTAGCAGTGTATAAAAATGGCAGGTTCCTTGTGAAATACAAGTGCATGTAGCACAGAGTTAACCCTGGGTGATAACAGGTAAAAGAGGGCAAAAGCATAATAAAATACAGGTCTCTACTGTAGGTATTTACACAGTATCAACATTGTTAGCTGTGCTTAGAGATTTATGTCAAGTGTTAAATGCACTGTCATAAAACAATAAAGTACTTCTGTGAAGGGCTTAGGGCAAAGGGGAGGCAGAGAAGTCTCACTATATAAGGCCCTCCTCCTGCATCTGTGGTAATCCATGGGAATGTTTCCATAGTTGTCAGCAGGAGTTGTGTGGAGGCCTGCTAGGGGAGGGCAAGCAGAAGCACATTCACTATGTTTAGAGCAGGTAATTAATGATTTTGTCTTGGGGAGGATGTTGCTACCACCAAATGCTAGGAGCTAAAATAGCTTATGAATCCACCTTGCAACAAGTGAAGAGATTAGGGTTCCTCCTGGCAGTAGGGATGTCCTTTGGTGTTTCATAGAAATGCTGTACCATAAAATCTGAGGTTACACTAAGAGAACTACTGTGCTCCATGTTGCCGTGGGGTGAAAAGGGCAAGAGTCCAGTGTCCCAGGGTTTCTACACAGCGTACCCTGGACTCTGCACACTTCCAGCTCTAGGCTGTTGCAACTCTGCTCCTCACACTGGGCTCACAGTAGGCTTCCCCTCAGCGTTTTGGCTGCAGGACCAGACTTCTCATCTTAGTGTTTATATGTAGTGGACCAAACTGAAACACCAGTCCCAATCAGAGCACCAGGGAGTTTAGATCCAGGCACGGTGCCTGCCTGTCCATGGGTCTGTAGCTCCAGTTTGTCCTCCTTGCTTGTTGTGGCTGCCCTTCATGAGGTTATGGCAAGATTGCTTCTCCAAGCCATGCTGATACATGGGACTTACTATAGAAGAGTATTGCTCCTCCACTAGAGATGGCTCCTATGGAGTTGTTCCCTGTTTAAATGCCACTTTATGGGACAGTGTTTTCTTGCTTCTTTCCAGATGCAGGAAGTAATTCTTCTTTATCAAAACATCTAGTAGAAGTGTCCCCCACCACAGCAGTCCTACACCTGTCCTGAGAGAGATAGAATTACCTGCTTCCTGACCATGCTGTGGACAATGCTTCTCAAAGGTCAGTCAGCTTCAAATAAGAGAAACACCTTTGCCAGAAGATATTTCAGAGCCCTTCATAAACTTGAGTATTGCTGCCAGCCTTGCTTTCTCTGTCAGGAACCACAGTGCTCCACACCTGCTGGTCTTCACTGTTCTCTGAGGGAGCTGATAGGAGCTGTTTGGAAAACAGATGGGCAGGTGTTGAGCACTTCAACATCTAACCCCATGTCTCTCAACTGTCTGAATTCATTTTGAGCCGATGCAACTGGGTGAGCCTTACATACTTCTTTCTCAAAAGCATTGGCCATGCCATTTCCTGTCTCATATTGTATCTTAAAAGCTAATGAATAGAGCTAAAATCTGTCCCTCACTTGTCAGCCACAGCAGCCTTAAAACTCCAGGCCTAACTTCATAGTGGGACAGCTTTCAAAATCCATGGGCTCATTCCTGTCATATTTCAGTGTGAGACTGAGTCCCTCCCGAGTCCTGGGTGGTGTCACAGTGGCAATAAGCAGCTTCAGTCCCATGGCACCTATTGTCCCTTTCATCCTTCCAGCCCTCAGCTTTGCTGGTGCTGGAGATGTGGCCCAGATTCATTCCCATACTCCCAACAGCACCACAGGCTCCTACTCCACAGGACCAGCACCTAGCCCAGCAGAGTGCTGTAGGGCACCCTGTCCTTGCATCCCACTGTCCTAGTGCAAAATACAGATATGTTAAGCTCAGTTTAGAAAGAGGTGAGCAGTCTCCCACGTGTAGCCAGGGCAGAGTGCCCTAGCATCAGCATCTTGGCTCTGTACGTGACCTTTTCCCATGAATATCTCAGTGGTGTCCTCATCACATGAGTTCTCCAGCCTCTGGCATGGTGAGACAGCCTGGTTTGTGATTGTGACGACCCTTTTAGATTGCACATCTCTTGCTCTGCACAGCCACGCGTTACAATTTTTCGCCTTACACGTCCACGTAGGAATGCGGGGGGGCCCTTGGAGCAGGCTGCCCGGGACGGGCACGGACGTGCCCGCGGGAGAGACGCGGGGCAGAGCGCGTTTCTCCTCCTCACACTTCTCCTTTTTCCGTGACCCGCCTCGGTGATTGGAAAGGACCCATGTCCCGTGTTCCACCCACCCCCCCGCGGCCC